AACATGGTAAGCACTCTTAGGTCTATCTTTTTTCGGAATTTTATGAAATTTATATCAAAGGTTTATTCCAGCAAGGTCTTGGAGAAATTCAATAATCGGAACCAAGGACGTATATGCTGGGACTAGTATACTTTTATTGTGTCCCATGTATATGTTAGTTATACGTCCTTGTCGGAGCAGATCAACAATATTTACAAGAGGTATGTCCCTTGTAAATAGAAATGACATGGAATGAAAATTGCCGCGATGGTAAGAGATCTCACGCCACCATTTTCTTGTAGGATATGTATGCATTAGTTTAAAAGAATATTTGAAGCCTGGTTATGATCTGTTATTTGGTTTACAATTTATTATCATATAAAAATTATGCAATCATGTTTTCAATTAAACCGGCTGAAACGATGAAAGATTGGTTGGTCCTGTCCACCGCGTAAAGTCTAAGGATGATGCGTGTCTAAGGTATTTTTGACACTTCAGGATTTTTACTACGCCGCACATGATATTTTTTATTTAAATGTGACAGTCGTATTTGCTTTTGCCTTCCGTTTGAATAGACCCTTATTGCAGCCATATCGAATGAGGTCGTAATGGGGGTACCTTCATGACGAACAACGGTAAAAATTCTTGTCAAATGACGTTAACGGTAATTTTTGGTGCATGACGATAAAATGTACACTTTCTTTTAGACGATAAAAAAAATCAACTGATTTTGACGAATCACGTTATTTTTTTTTCAAAAATAACGGTAACGATAATTATTTGAGACCTCTGACGAATCACGATAAGGATATTTTGATGAATCACGGTAAAATTTTAACCAATTTGACGCTAACGGTAGCCAAAAATGACCGTTTGACGCCTGACGGTAAAGGGTATTCCTACCCTCTTGAATAGGGCAGATTTTCACAAAGGGGGTGAAAATAGTTTGAAATATACGGGAAAACAACATAATTGAAACAGAACAGTTGCTTGGAATCATGCATAGGATTTCCTGTACTTTCATACTATTTCCACCTCTATCCAGAAATCTACCCGTAAGGGAACGACCATTTAACTTCAAAGGGTGGGGAGTTATGGATTTTTCCTAAAAAAAATATGCTGATCCCCAATTTGATGGAAAAAAAATATTGTGGTCAAGCAGATGACAAAAAAAAATAAAATAAGTTGATTAATAGCGTCGAAAAACTAAAAAAAAAAGTTCGCCTTTTGCGCGAAAAAAAATTTGACTCGGACAAAAAACCATAACCCCCCTCCCCTTGAAGTTAAATGGTTGCTCCCTAATCAATATGGCTACAATAAACCGCATGGAGTGGCCTATTGAGCGCCACTGACTTATATGAGACTTGCATGTATGTAGACTAAACGCGAGTCGTTTGGCATACCAAATCGTATCTTTGATTAGTTTTTAAAACTGCTTGAACAATGTCACTGCTGGTGGTAGTTGAACCGGAGGATATCACTAGTTAAGTCGGTAGCCAGCACTCGTTTACTGATTGATAGGTTATTTTCTATAAAATTTGTATAAAATGCTGAATTATTCAAAACACAAAGGCATATATAGCTACCTTGACCTATAATGGTTTACTTTTATAAATTGTAACTTGAATGGAGAGTTGTCTCATTGGCACTCATACCACATCTTCCTATATCTATCAACCAGATTAGGCACAACTCTTTGGAATTGTTTGTTTTCTGAGACTGTGCTTTTCAACTTCGTAATTTGATTTGGTTATCCAACTGTTACGACTCGAGAGTTAATGTATTATGTAAGTACTAAATAAATACATGTAGAGCTTGAAAATAAAATATTAATTAAAGAATTGTTCTATTACAATCTATTTAATGATGTTATCTTTAATTTATTTGTGTAATTCAAGAATCTGATAAAACATTTTTGAATTTTCAAATATTTTTAAAATAATGTACCATACCAGCGAGTGACATATAATACATTGTATTATATATATGTCGCTGACCATACTGTTCGATAAAATGTAACCGTCATCCTGTACAGTCCCATTTGATGTGGATTAAATCTGCACAAATGTCATTTACTTTTGTATCGCTGCATGTGAATAATTTCAGAACAAGGCCATGATGATTTAGCTAGATCGTTGGCGGATTGGCGGTATTTTTCTACTCGTATCCAGAAAATTGATAAATGTTATACAACGTTTCGGCCATCGATTTAAACGAAGATCCCCGAGAGTGTCCTAGAATATTATTCAGACTTGACTATCAAATACACATACTCTTTGTCTTTGATATTGTACGGGAAACAGAGGACACTTTTTTATTTGCTTCAGGAAAAATGTTTTCAAACATGTAATGGATAAACCAGAAAAAGTAATACATTGATAGTATGAAATTATTATCAAATTGATAGTTTGAAATTATTACCAAATTGTAATTACTAAGTATATTAATCCACGCCTGCCTTAAACATACTGTATAGTTGTTGCTGGGTAAGTTTGGCATTACAATTAAATCACTGTAAACTTGGGAAAAAAATTATTCTTACGCCATTTCAATCATTCTTTTTTCAAATCTATTTTTTTCATTTATCTTTCTAGTGTTAGTATTAGTGAAAAACAAGTATACTCTGGGAGAAAAAAAAACGAGATACTCAAGTTGTATGAGTAGATATGAACAAAACATTAATGTCTCCATAGGATATAACGAAATGCAATTTTGTTAAAAACATAATTTATACAGAGGAAAGCCGTTTCAGATACATAAAAGAACATTTTATTTATTTACTCTAGAGAATGTTTCAATGTCTCTATGTTTTAGCATGGCAGTATTATATTCCTTTTATTATCTTTTATTTTACTTTATTATAATACTTCCATGGTTTTAGATAACAACTACAATATGTTTAACGTTGGCAGAGGTGAACATTTTAACAGAATTTCCAAATAGGGGTGGTAAGGGTAATTAAGACTACCTAAAATGTTAACTAGAACTGTAATTGTTGTATACTTGTGTGTATGTTTGTGTGGCTTGTGTTATTATAAATGAGTTTGTTTCCATAACTTTATGTATGTATATCTCTGTACCATTCTGACTTATGGTTTATCAGAATAAAGATTTTTATTAAAATGTTTACAAGGACAGTGAACATTTTTTACGGAATTGGTAAAATGATTTTCAAATAATTTTGTAGAAAATCAATAAACAAAATGGTAGCAGTAAATAATCATGAGTGTCAAGGCTAACGATAATAATATGTTTACTTTGAAAAGCCTGAGACTAATGCAATTATCAATTGTTCACAGAAATAAAAGATAGTTCATCATATTTTACGATGTTAATACAGTTTTCTTCATATTTTCTTTTTATCTTCCACAGGAAATATATAGAAATACCATCATCTGTTACAATGTTAACAGTTTTCTCAACATTTTTACAGGGAACATATATGCATACCATCATCTGTTACAATGTTAACATAATTTTCTCCATATTTTCTTTCAATCTTCCACGTAGAACATATAGAAATACCATCATCTGCTACATTGTTAACACAGTTTTCTGCACATTTTCTGTTTATTTTCCACAGAGAACATATAGATATACCATCATTTGCTACAATGTTAACACAGTTTTCTCCATGTTCTTTTTATCTTCCACATAGAACATATAGAAATACCACCATTTGTTACAATGTAAACACAGTGTTCTCCATATGTTCTTTTTAAATTCCACAGGGAATATACAGAAATACCACCATCGTATACAATGTTAACACAGTGTTCCCCATGTGTTCTTTTAATGTCCCTAAGGGAACATACTTAAAAACCACCATCTATTGTAATAATTTTGCACTCGGTTTCTCCATATGTTATCTTTATCTTCCACAGGGAACATACATACATTCCATCATATTTTACAATAGAAACACAGTTTTCTCCAAATGTTCTTTTTATCTCCGACAGGGAACATATAGAAAAACCAACCTCTGTTACAATGTAAAACGCAGTTTTCTCTATATTTTTTTTATCTTCCACAGGAAACATACAGAAACATCATCGTCTGACTTTTAAATTTTGTATTCAGTGAAAACCACAAATTGTTTAAACGTTGACAGTAGGATATCACATTATAAAGTATGTGCAGTTAAAATAATAACAGGTCCAAATATACTTTACTCTAGGAGTCGAATTTTCATATTTCATTGCTTTGATGATAGAATATAATATATTTATTCCCGAATAGTTGATAAGGAAATAATGGACGAAAAACAAAATAAAACTGTAAAACAATTAAGACAAAAGAAAATTCTTAAGAAAAGTAGAAATAATGAAAAAATTCCCACTTGTGGTTCGTGTGGAAGACTTTTTTGTGGAAAACCTATTCGGTGTGATGTATGTAGTAAAAGGTTTTGTAAGAAGAAAACTTATGAAGCACACGTTCGAATACATACAGGCGAAAAACCCTATAAATGTCTCGTGTGCGAGAAAAGTTTGGCGAGTCAAAAATCCTTACAGAAACACAAGAGAAGACACAGTGGAGACACACCATTTAAATGTGACACTTGTGATGAAACTTTCGATTTGAAATCAGGTCTGAGGACACACATGAAAATACATAATTGTGAAAAACGTCAAAAGTGTAACGTATGCTGGAAGAATTTTCGTTCAAGCAGTGCACTGGAGAGACACACAAGACAACACACTGGTGAAAGACCTTTTACTTGTGATGTGTGTGGAAAAAAATTTCCTCAGAAAGAATCGCTAAAATCACATGTTCTCTTACACTCAGAAAACAAGCCTTTTAAATGCGGTGAATGTGGTAAAGGGTTTATTCGTGATGACGCCTTAAAAGCACACATGAGAATACACAGTGGAGAAAAACCTTTCAAATGTGAAGAATGTGGTAAAAGTTTTGATATGAAAAGAACCCTGACCATGCATAGGGTAAGACATTCAAAAGAAAAGCCTTACAAGTGTGAAATATGTGGTAAAGCTTTTGGCTTAAAGCAATATATCAATATTCACATGAGAATACACACGGGTGAAAAGCCTTACAAATGTACAGAGTGTGGCAAAGGATTTAGTCAAAATCAACACTTACAGCGACATATAAAAACACACAGTGACGAAAAACTTTACAAATGTGAAGTGTGCAATAAAAGGTTTACTGTGCGGCAAAATTTGAGAAGTCATAAAAGAATACACGATAAAGTCTACAAATGTGCTATATGTGACCAAGTGTTCTCTTGGAAAGATGCCTTAAAGATACACACGAAAACGCACGGAGATAAACCTTACAAATGTGATATATGTGATAAAGGTTTTAGTATGAATAAAATTTTACTTGGACACATCAGAATACATACCGATGATAAACCTTATAGTGTAATGTATGTGGAAAGAGTTTCAGATGGAACACTTGTTTGAGAATACATAAGACAACACACACAAACGAAAAAAGATTCAAATGTGAATTATGTGATAAAGCTTTTAGACTGAATCAATATTTACGGCAACACATGATAATTCATACTGGTGATACACCTTTCAAATGTGACGTGTGCGGAGAAACATTTGCCAATCAAATAACCGCCAAAAACCACGTGCGAATACATACCAGAGAAAAGGACAATCAAAACACCTATGCATGTGATATTTGTGATAAAAGATTCTATTCGAATGAATATCTTCGAAGACACGTGAAAAGACATACTGTTGATAAGCCATACGCATGCGATGTATGTGGGAAACGGTTTAAGGAAGGAAGTAACTTAAAGAGACATTCTACAATACACACTGGCGATGAATATTTAAAATGTGAGGTGTGCTTTAGACAATTTAGTGAGCAAAATAGCCTTGAGAATCGTAAACATTTCACATGCCAAGTATGTAGCAAAAAATTTGGTCTGAAAACTAACCTTCAGAAACATTTGAAGACACATACCGGAAGTAAACAATACACGTGCGATGTATGTGAGATACAGTTTGGTAAAAGTAGTGAATTCAAGAAACATATGAGAACGCACAATTGCGAAAAACCTTTTAAATGTGGCGTTTGTAGTAAAGAATTTAGTGTGCAAAGTAGCGTTAAAACCCACATGATAATACATATTGGAGAAAACTTTAATCATTTCACATGCAATGTATGTGGTAAAATGTTTAATATGAAAGGAAACCTTCAGAAACACGAGAGAACACATGGGGGAGAAAAACCATATTATTGTAATGTATGTGGAAAATCATTTGTGTCAAGCGGTTATGTAAAGAAACACATGATTACTCACACTAAAGAGAAACCTTTTCAGTGTGACGTATGTGGGAAAAAATTTAGTTGCAATGTCAGCTTAAAAAAACATGGTTTATTACACAATAATGAAGACCGTAAAATGTACGAATGCGATATATGTAGCAAAGAACTTTGTAATATCAGTAATTTACGAAGACATAAAAAAAATCATGCCGGCGAGAAACCTCATGCATGCGATGTATGCGGAAAGCGATTTGGTTACAGAAGTGTCTTGATAAAACACACGAGAACCCACAGTGGCGACAAACCTTTTAAGTGTAGTGTGTGTAATAAAAGTTTTACTGAAAGCTACACTGTAAAGGGACACATGAGAACACATAATGGCGACCAGCCTTATAAATGTGACACTTGTGGTCAGATGTTCAATAATAATAGCAATCTGCATAGTGTAATATTTTAATGTTTTGTAAATATTGACCTCTAGTTAATTTGACTTTATAACTGTTTATTTGTGTACAGAGAAAATTAATGACGCAAGGCTAATTTGACAAATGGCTAGTTTTATTATCTGCAGTTAAAGTTGAACTGTCAGATGTAATTAAGACAAGTAGCGATGTCTTGGGGTGTAGGGTAATAAAATAAGTTATGCCTATTTGTTTTGTCTAGAGTGAAAGTAATTAAACTCTATGATCAAGGTCAGTTGGGCAGAGACTGGCAGATTGTGTATCAGCTGTGATACTGGAAGGATGTGATTTTCCTTGAAGTCTTGAATCAGTAGATTCTGGAGGACTTGTATTTAAAGTTTATATGTTTTAACTTTGTAGCTAACTTTGTCAATAAGTCGGAAGTAATGTACATTTGTTAATAAACTTGTAAATATATATCGCATTATTTAGTTACTGGAAATTACCACAGGATACATTGTCGTGCCATAGTATGGTTATGTCCGTCCGTCTGTGTCGGTGTTGACCTCCCCTCGGTCACGTTACAATAGACATATTAGAAACCACAAGGGTGACAAAAAATTTAATTGTGATGTTTGTAATAAAAGTTTTATTGATAGCTACACAATAAAAGTTCACATGAGGGTTCACACAGGTGATAAACCTTACAAATGTGAAACATGTGGAAATAAGTATCAAAATGCAGGAAATTTGGCAAGACATACACAGGCAATTTTTTCCAACGTGATTTTAACATTGGAATCACGTGATATTCACATTGTCCACACCACGTGAGTACAACGTGAAACGAGCAGAAACGTAATATTCACGTTGTGAGCACAACGTGAAATAAACATTCGTCACACGTGATTTTCACGTTGTATATAAATCCACATAATAATACAACGTGATATTCACGTTTAATATAAAGCCACGTGATATAAACGTGATAATACAACAAGACTTTTATGTGAAGCAGCCACTTGGAAAAATGAAATATTGTCTTTGTTGCACTCATTGACGTCACATATCATTTTTTGTTCTTAGTCATCTCTATTTGAAGAAGTTTCTCTGGTTCTTTATGGTAAAAGTACTGTAAAAGTGAGTTATACATCAATAAATTGTCTTATATTGATTATCAGTTACCTCATATGCATGTTTTATTTACCTGTTATCATCCTGAATATGTATGTAATATTTGCGGCTGGATGTTTAGCATCCATTAAAACTTATATATATATATATATATATAAATCCAAATCTTATTTAAACCATGAGACTATTTCTACATGTTTGAAACCTTTCGAATCTTCCTGTTAGTATTTCTTTTTTTGTTTGTTTGAAATTCTTGCTTTATAATCGCGTTTGTTTGACAATTCATAAAAAAATCTAAAAGTATGGATACCAATGTCAAAGTCAGCTACATTTTAAATTTATACAATGTTTGAAAAGAAGTCGAATTCGAAATTGCACAACAAATAATGCAAAACCAAATGTATACCAAACAACAATTCAATACAGACTAGCTATTTTACAATGTTCATTCTACAAGAGTTGTGTCCCACGCAGGTTTACCATGACAAATCTAAAATCTAAAAATAATCAGCTTATGATTAAAAAATTGTCCCTAACAGAGGCATATGTTACCAAATGTTAAAAAAAACAAAACACTTTCCACATTAAATTCAATTATATTTATATTTAAGAATATTCTAAACAGTTAACATTTGAAAAGTTACTGAAATAGTAACAAATAATATTTGATTGTTTTGTCTTCTAAATGCTCCACTCTTTTGAAAGTTTCTTCATCTGAAAGGATAAAAAAAAAGAATTTTATTTACTGTTATAATATTATCTTCTTTAAGCATACATAATGAAAGCTTTATTTTACTTCTAATATGAGTGTTGCTTTTGCTTTGTAAACAACAATGTGATAAAATTCTCAATATATCTATAGTTTACAACCCTAGTAAACATTATTATTATATACATATGCACTTTCATGGATCTACAATCTGTCATTTCCTGTATCTTGGCATTGCACCAGGTCATGTTTTTCTCTGATTGTTTATGATGTCTTTACACTAAATCCATTGGATGTTGGATGTGTACTGATTGATAATTTATTCTTAGATGCATTTTTTTTAAGTTGTTATTGGCTTTGAACTAGCTGTCAGTATCTGCACTCTCAGATTTGTACTAAGTGTCTTTTTGTTGTTGGGATGTACAAGTACCCATCCACGTCCACTCTGTGTTTTTGTTGTATGTATTTCTATTTGTATCCATCTGATGAGTTCAGCCTTTTTCAACTGATTTTTTTAGTTCGTTCTAATGTTGTACTGTTACACCACTGTCCCAGGTTAGGGGAGGGTTGAGATTCCCCCAACAAATTTAACCCTGCCACATTCTGTATGTATGTGCCTGTCCCAAGTCAGGAGCCTGTAGTTAAGTGGTTGTTGTTTGTTGTTACATATTTGTTTTTTTTAGTTATTTTTTTTTTGTACATTAATCAGGCCGTTAGTTTTCTGGTTTGAATTGTTTTACATTTGTGATTTATAGCGGACTATGCAGTATGGGCTTTGCTCATTGTTGAAGGCCGTACGGTGACCTATAGCTCTTAATTTCTGTGGCATTTGGTTTCTTGTGGAGGGTTGTTTCATTGGCAATCATACCACATCTTTTTTATATGTATCATAACCAATGTGGTGATTTCCCTGTGTAAAATTGAAATGAAAACTAGACAAAGTGACTCCACTCTGAAGTAACTGTATTATAACAAAGTCAATGTAGGACTTTCTTTGAGATATTATTGTGTCTAGGAGACACAATTGATGCCCCCGCAGATGCAAAGTGTTATTTTAAAATAACTATAACATTTAACCGCTTACACCCAAAAAATGACAAAGTTCAACTATCTCCCAAAAGAGCAAATATTAATAAAAATCAAAACCCTGACCACATGCACACCTTCAATGTATGTTCAAACAGCCAGCAAAGTGAAAAATTCCTAGCATTCAAACTGTAGGAGGAGTTATCTGGAAACGCTCCTCTTATGAAAGTAAATACCCGGTACTCCAAAAATTGACAAAGTTCAACTATCTCCCAAAAGAGCAAATATTAATAAAAATCAAAACCCTGACCACATGCACACCTTCAATATATGTACAAACAGACAGCAAAGTGAAAACTTCCTAGGATTCAAACTGTAGGAGGAGTTATGCGGATTAACTATACACCCATAATGGGATGGACGGACGGACAGACGGACGGACAGGGGTAAAACAATATGCCCCCCAACTTTCAGTTGCAGGGGCATAAAAAAAACATGACTGAATGTACAGGGCCAAATAATCTCCATGGAAATGTGATGTGCCAATACTAATACAAATGAATACCAAATATCATTGCCCCATCACTAAAGGTTCCCCTTGAACTGACAAACATTTTTGGGGCCCTTTATAGATTGCTGTTCGGTGTGAGCCAAGGCTCTGTGTTAAAGACCATACTTTGACCTATAAAGGTTTACTTTACAAATTGTGACTTTGATGGAGAGTTGTCTCATTGGCACTCATACCACATCTTCTTATATCTATGATATATTTATACAGTCGCAAATTTAAGTTAATGTATCTTTATGACAGCACAAGGTTCCATACCTCAAAAGGAAGGTTGGATTGATTTTAGGGGTTATGGCCTTAACCATATTAACAGTTTAGGCATTAGGGGCCAAAAATAACACTTTGTTTATTCTTTGTACATGTATAAACTGCTTTTTTCTTGACCAATTTCAATTGTGTTTAATTCAAAGTCTTTATTTTATTTTTTCAAACCTTGTTACTTGTATATAGATTTGGCCTCTTTTTTAAAATAGGTCCACATTGAGGTCCCTAGGGTACAAATTTAAACTTTGTCGTTTGAAGACATATAAAGTTTAATTATTTATTGGTTCTATGATATGAGATATCTAACTGTTAAGTTAAAATTTTAATTTTGTGCCCCGTTTTTAAATTGGTCCCCATTAAGAAGCAAAGGGTCCAAAAGTAAACTTTGTTTGATTTCAACAAAAATTGAATTTTTGAGGTTCTTTGATATGCTGAATCTAATCGTTAAGTTAGATTTCTGATTTTGGGCCCCATTTTCAAATTGGTCTATATACCTCTGTGGTCAGTCATATCAAGCTGAGCCTTGCATTTTATTTTCAAATTGGTTAACTTATACTCATGTTAGAATTAAATAATTTTGTATGTATGCATACTCAATTTAATATAATATTATTATCCTATTGTATACAGAAGTAAAACTTGTGTCTGATTCTATTTAAGTCAATTGTTCGAATAAAATAATCATAAACTAAAACATTCATATGATGTAGTTTTGCATCTTCTATTTAGAGCTTGTTCAGTACCAGTAGAATTCAACAACAAAATTAATAAGCTATTATTACAATTTCTTTGTTCTTACTACTTTTCTTATGTTTGCAGGGAAAATTGACAGAGTGATACATCTTCTATGAATAAAAAGAGGAAATAAGTGTCTGCAGCAGTAAATCATTATAACAACAAGACTGTGAAAAGAAGATATCAGAACATGAAATGAGTTTTATTTCAGTTAAAAGGACTTGTTACAGAATATACCTCTTGTGATTCTAATGAAAACCATTGTCAACTTGAAGTAAAGGAAGATTTTATAAAATAGAACAGGAAATAAAGGAAGACTCAATCATTTAGAGCATAACAAAGCACAATGTATATTTCTAATTAGTCTGTTAATTCAGAATAACCCATGTGAAGGAATTATATTTTACAGTAAACAACATACAATACACTTACAACTTCAATTTTTGCAATTGGTGAATTTTTATGTTGTACTAAGGGAAAATTTATATGACAGATGCATTACCTTAAATATTCACTGAACACATGAAAATCCAACATTGCCATTGCAAAAATAACTTGCACTTACATGTACATATGTTATTCATGTGATATTAATATGAAATTCACATCACAATCATGTGAAAATATAGACGTGAAATAACACAACTTTTACACGTTAAAATAATGTGAAAAAATCTAAATGTGAAATTAACACAATATTTACACGTTAAAATCACGTTTAAAAATTTACGTGTGAAATAACACAATATTTACACGTTAATATCACGTTAAAAAATTTACATGTGAAAATAACGTTACGTTTAAACGTGAATATCACGTGAGCAGATTAAAACGTGATTATCACGTGAGAATCTTGTGTGTGTCAAATACAGGTGATATAAACGTTTAAACGGTGTGATACACACGTGGAAATAACGTAGTTTTCACGTAATGAGCACAAACGTTAAACACACGTTGGAAAAAATTGCCTGTGTAGGAAAGTACACGCTGAAGTGTGACGTGTGTGATAAAAGTTATAGTACGTTAGAGCTGCATTTGAGGACACACTCTGATATTGACCAGCACTAATTTGATACGTGTGGTAAGGCTCACAGTCTGAAGGGACACACGAGTAGTCATCAGGACTTTACAAATGTGACATATGTATAAAATCATACGGTAAAAGTATTTGTAGTATTCTTCAAACATAATTAAGAAAAACGTATTCGTGGTGATGTTTGAACTGTTAGCACTATAATTTTAATTTCTTGAAGCAACACTTGAGGGCACAGTGGACTCAAAACTGTGAATGTATACAATTTGCACTTTACGATTTGACGTATCTTAACTGAACATAATGTTTCGGTTCATGATTATAAAATTTTTAATTCAAGATGATCATTAAAAATATATTCTGTTTTTTTTTTTTGTTGGTTATCTCAATATTCAAAATTGTGATATCACATCACAAATTCAAAAATATATGACTTTTCGAATGTGTGCTGGTCAACACGAATCCAGAATTAGAGATTGCAGAGTTGATTTCTTGGTCGTGATAGACAGAGGTCTGTCATTGATATAGACATACATATTACAAATGTAAGCTGGATAAACAGCGGTGTTTCATATTCGGAATTTAATTTCAAAAATGCTGAAATTCCGGCAAACAGAGATTTGTTCATAGAAATATATGAAATATATTTGGCAAATTTCTATTACCAAACATGATTCAATTTTCAATGTGATTGCTACATCGATTTATATTTTATTCTGTCAATTTTTACGCTTGTACTCTCTGTTAAATTTGATAATCATTTGTTTTCCATACTCGATTTCAATTTTGGGTATACACACAATGTGCCTTGTTGTTTGCTAGCTTGATTATTCAGCAATTTAGAACTTGTCATGTAGATATAAATTGTATAAATATTTGTCTAATTGTGGAATGCTATTTTTGAACATATTGACACAAATTGAAATAAAGCTTTTGTTGCTGTCACATGCCTGTAAGGGACCGTTCAATATTTACCAGATGGATGGGCTGGTGCATTCTAAATATTGTTTCAATATAAAAGTTAATGCCCATCCTTTTAAATTCTGCAAAAAAGTCCTTGCCCATCTAAAAAATTCTATAAAAAAAAGTCCTTGCCCCTCTAAAACTTAAAGACAATCAAAAATGATCTAGGTTCTTTTTCTATTTTAATGTTTGCATGTTTATGTCTGGAAATCAAAGCATAGACTTTGGTGTATAAATACAAAATTCAAAATGTGCTAGTTAATTCCATATATATATATATATTTATGTGTGTATCAGAAACATACATTTTATTGTTTTTAAAACCAGTATGAATATACATGTATAGATTTGATTTTATATGTGCAGCATCAGATACAATATCACAATTAAATCTCAAGACATAAGTATTAGCATACTATATCAGCCAGCCTTTCATAGAGGCTTAAGAAGTGCTAACAATATTCATGCAAGTCATAAAACATATGAAGAAAATATTTACCATACTATTAAATGTACTTAGTTTATGTTTTTTTTCTGAAATCTGAGGTCATTTTAAATTTGAAACAGTTTAATGTATCTCTTTTTACGTCTTTGTTCTATTAATTCATTGAGGATCACCACTTTTTTCCCCTTTTGTGACCATAGGACATGAGGTCTGAGAACACAGTTATTTCGTAGTGCATTTCTTTAAGACAATAAATGGAAATAAAAAAAATCCCACCTGCACTTTCTCAATAATATTTTTACAGTGTGTTGTACTACTTTTGGGACAAATTATATCAAAATTATAGAAAACTTCATTGGCTCTAACTCAAAATATGGACAAATTTATTTTAGGGGGGTCTTGAAATCTTTTGACAGCTTCCGAAATGCTAATTTTAACCTTTTTCAGCTGGACCAAATCACTACTCTACTTTAAAATTCATGAATCAATTTTTTTTACAGTGTTACTTAATCCCCCTACTTCCAATTGAGGTATAAAACATGAAGAAATAAATTTGGAAGGGGTATAAAAAAAATTGGCAGCCAAGTAACACACTGTCCATCCACACTAGGGACTATATTCATGGACAATGAAAATCAGAGGACGATAGCTGTGTTCCCGGACAATGAAGATTTATTCAAACTATTGTTAACAATCAAAAAAAATTATTAACTAAATATCCAATTTGTATACAATTTTGAAAATACCCTGTTAATTTAAAATAAAGGGACTCATAAGCTGAATTACCAATAATTGTCTTAATAACAAAGCATGTTTATATTTCAAATAAACAATATCCCTTTATCTATTCTACTTTTCAAGAAAGAAATTATGGTCGTTTTAAAGCAATTTAAGCAGACATGGTTTTGACTTTCATACAGCTTTTTTTACCTATTAATTAAATCCTTTAATTTGACAGCAAAACACCAAATTACCAAACAACCTGGCATTCTGTAAGATCAATATATAAATGAGATGGCTGTAGAGTTTTATGAAAATCCAAGTTGATTTGGAAACGTTACACAATTTTTAAAGATGACTATCTGAATTTAACCTAAACTGAAAATTTTAGCTTTTTTTACCTATTAACTAAATCCATAAACATTACAGCAATACATCAAAACTACCAAACAACCTGGCATTCTGTAAGATCAATATATAAATGAGATAGCTGTAGAGTTTTATGATAATCCAAGTTGATTTGAAAAAGTTATAAAAAATTTTAAAGGTGACTATTTGAATTTAGCCTAAACTGAAAATTTTAGCTTTTTTTTCTTACCTAATAATTAAATCCATAAATTTGACAGCAACACACAAAACTATCAAAGAACCTGGTGTTCTATAAGGTCAAAATACAATTGAGATTTCTATAGAGTTGTATGAAAATCCAAGTTGATTTGAAAATTTATATAAAATTTTAAAAGTGACTCTCTGAAATAAGTCCGAACTGAAAATTCTAGCTTTTATTCTTTAATTAAGTCTCCCAAACGAAGTTTGGGAAGACTTATTGTTTTTGCTCAGTTCTTCTTCTTCTTCTTCTTCTTCTTCTTCTTCTTCTTCTTTTCTTCTTCTTCTTCTTCTTCTTCTTCTTCTTCTTCCTTCTTCTTCTTCTTCTTCTTCTTCTTCTTCTTCTTCTTCTTCTTCTTCTTCCGCCGCTTTTAAATTTGAACTTGTCCGCACCCGTTCTCCAAAACCGCTTGTCAGATTAACTAGGGTTTCACAATATGTTAGACTAACATGTCTAGTGGTGCAATCAGGGTTTTGTTTGTGCAATGGGGTTTATAAAGGGGTACTTTGAGGGGCAAAAAGAAAAGAGGGTTTTACTATAGAACCCTATGGGATTTTTTTTTTTTAATTTTCAAATGATTATAAATTGAAAACCGTTTGTGATAAACACAATCTTTTTAATTGAAAATGTTCTAAATGATAAAGCCCATTAAATGAAATACAGGGTTAGTCCCCAGGGGTCACCCCCACCCCCTGCCATTTAAGAAAGTTCTTATACCTTGTAAGTGGTCAAGATCCCCACCCCTAAACCATATATATTCTGGTTTGTCATGCTAAGATGGTTTGAATGATATACAGGGTTAGTCCCCAGGGGTCATCCCGACCCCCTGCCATTTGAGAAAGTTCTAATATCTTGTAAATGGTCGAGATCCCCACCCCTAAACCATATATATTCTGGTTTGTCATGCCAAGATGGTTTGAATGATATACGGGGTTAGTCCCCAGGGGTCATCCCGACCCCCTGCCATTTGAGAAAGTTCTAATATCTTGTAAATGGTCGAGATCCCCACCCCTAAACCATATATATTCTGGTTTGTCATGATAAAGCACATCAAATGAAATACAGGGTTAGTCCCCAGGGGTCACCCCCACCCCATGCCATTTAAAAAAGTTCTAATATCTTGTAAGTTGTCAAGATCCCCACCCCTAAACCATATATATTCTGGTTTGTCATGCTAAGATGGTTTGAATGATATACAGGGTTAGTCCCCAGGGGTCATCCCGACCACCTGCCATTTGAGAAAGTTCTAATATCTTGTAAATGGTCGAGATCCCCACCCCTAAACCATATATATTCTGGTTTGTCATGATAATGCACATCAAATGAAATACAGGGTTAGTCCCCAGGGGTCACCCCCACCCCCTGCCATTTGAGAAAGTTCTAATATCTTGTAAGTGGTCAAGATCCCCACCCCTAAACCATATATATTCTGGTTTGTCATTCTAAGATGGTTTGAATGATATACAGGGTTAGTTCCCAGGGGTCATCCCGACCCCTTGCCATTTGAGAAAGTTCTAATATCTTGTAAATGGTCGAGATCCCCACCCCTAAACCATATATGTTCTGGTTTGTCATGCCAAGATGGTTTGAATGATATACGGGGTTAGTCCCCAGGGGTCATCTCGACCCCCTGCCATTTGAGAAAGTTCTAATATCTTGTAAATGATTGAGATCCCCTCCCCTAAACCATATATATTCCTATTTGTCATGTCTCGAACATTTGAATGACGTATACGGTCAGTCCCCAGGGGTTCCCCCACCCCCAATGTTCTAATATCTTTTAAATGGTTGAGATCCCCACCCCCAAACCATATATATTCCTGTTTGTCATGTAACGAACATTTGAATGACGTATAGGGTCAGTCCCCAGGGGTTCCCCCCACCCTCAATGTTCTAGTATCTTGTAAATGGTCGAGATCCCCACCCCTAAACCATATATATTCTGGTTTGTCATGCCAAGATGATTTGAATGATATACAGGGTTAGTCCCCAGGCATCACTAATGCATATAACTTTACTGGACCAAACTAATTTTCACTGGACGCTGCCCAATGTCAGGCGACCCTGGGAATTACGAATTATGGGAGCTTCGTTTGGGAGACTTCGTAACAGCATCCTGTTACAATCATTTCTTGGTAAATCAGTAAAATTGACAGAAATGAACCAAGCTACCAGTTTGTCGAGACCATGTCCCTTATGTTTTGTGTGCCTGCAAAAGAAATTTCCTACACACCAATAAAATTGATTGCAAAATTTTTCCTATAAAATAAGTTCTGGCCCATCCACTATACATATCAAAAAAAGTTCTCGCCCATCCAAATATTTCCACAAAAAAAGTGCTTGCCCCGCCCTATTTTGCACAGGCCCATCCATCTGATAAATATTGAACGGTCCCTAATAATAATGTACATAAGTTATTTTTATTTTTACTCTATGCTATTGAGTAACAATTTTATTGATTTGATTTAAACTAATACATTCTATTTTATCTTCTTGAGAATATCTGCTGAAGATTGAAGG